GCGGCATTCCACAACATGGGTGCACTCACATACATGTAGGCAATACACTCATACACATAAAATAAAAATAATAAATAAAAATTTTTTTAATTAAAATAGCATTGATGGAAATAAAATAAGCACAGCTTCCAGTTTCAAGAGTTATTCATGTGCATTTTCTGTTTCCAGTTGATACATGTGGAATCCATGCCAGCCCTCTCAAACAGCTGAAATACAAGCAAACCTCTTTTAAGACCCGGTTGAACAGCAAGCCTCCACACCTATGCCCAGACGCTCTGAGCATCTTTAGTCTTAAAGGGGCAGAGTAGGGGGCTTCAGTGGTTCATATAAGAAGATTCAGAAACAAAAGGAAAAGTTAAAAACAGCAATTGAGACCACTGTATAAAATATATACTCCGCAGACAGCCTTCAGTTCTCCTGACGATCAGCAGGAATTATTCAATAAGCGCAATTCCTCAGGAAAAGGCTTCAGCACTTCTGGCTGTGAACTCAACACTTGTCAGATAGCAGGTGCTCACTGTTGGGTGAATTGGAAGTGATGCAAGAGGTTTAGCTGTTTGGAAGCTATTTATGAAATCTAAGATGTGGCCACCTCAGTTGGATGTGGAGACCGCCTCCCATTGCATTTCAATATGAGCTTGAAGGTCAGACTTGTGCTAGTGGAGCAACTGTCATCAACCCAGACTTGGAATGTCAAGACTTCCTGGACAGACCATTGGAATAGTGTAGCGCAGCCAGGCAACATTGGGAAAAGCGAGGAAAAGACTTAAGTGACAGCGCTGTAAGGACCTGTGACCCGGAGAGGAAGGTAGAGGAAGTTTAGGTGCCAGAGCAGAGGGTATGAGGCTGGGACAGAAGAGGGTCGGTCCAGATCACCGAACTGGGGATGATGAAGAGCTAGCATATACCTGAGCGCTCTCTGTATGTTAAATCCTCCTTCTAACAGACCTATGCGGTAAGTACTATTATCACTTGCTTTATTCCCAAGTGGGGAAACTACATGGAGGTTGGTAGAATAAGAAACTGAAATTTAAAACCAGAATCCAAACCCGCATCGCCTGCTCTCGGATCCCTGTGCCATGGGCAGAAGAGTTTGGGTGAGTCCCCCAGGGACGTTTTGGTGCTGCAGGAATGTGCTGCCCCCTGGTGACAGCTCGCCGCTCCGCGCAGAGGTCCCCTGGGTCCCTACCGACACCAGAAGGAGGAGTTTGGAGCCTGAACCCACGAAATTGGGCAGGGCCAGGCGCAGGGCGCTCCGGCTTCGCTCTGGCCACCTTCATCCGGGTCCTTGCTGCGTCTTAAGGACCCGGGGGAACATGGCGGCGCCCTGGTGGCGGGTCGCGTTGTCGGGGAGTCGAAGCTGGCGGGGCTTCACCACCTCGGGTGAGTGGTTTGAGGCTGGGGAACTCTAACCCGCTCCTGCGGCCCTGCCGGAGTCGGCGTGACAGCCCGCTCTCTGCCCGCAGCCGCCCGCAGCCGCCGGACTCCCCCTCTCGGGCCCATGCCCAACCAGGACATCGACGTGAGCAACCTGGATCGGCTGGAGAAGTACCGGAGCTTCGAGCGCTACCGGCGCCGGGCGGAGCAGGAGGCACTGGCCCCGCACTGGTGGCGAACCTACAGGGAACACTTCGTGGAGGAGACAGGTGCTGGGGCGACCCGGGCAGGGCTTGGCTGGGAGCAGCCCGGCTGGCGAGCGAGCCTCGGCCCCCGTGTGCTCCGAGGACGTGGAGGGCCCGCGGCACTCCTGAGGGGTCCTGCCAGCTCTCGCAGCTTTTGGTCCATCTGCTTGCAAAGTTCCTTCCCCAAACTAGGAGTTCCTGAACTTCTTCCTGACCACCTGCCCCCATTTCGTGTTGGGACGCCCCTCTATGCACCTAAAATACTCTGCATTGTAGTCAGCGCCCTGTGGACAGGATCCGGTCTGTCTTGCCCACTATTGGATCCTTGCACCTGCACAGTGCCTGGCACTAAGTGTGCAGTAAGTTGCTAAGACCTCTGGGTAAGGTGACTCAGGGACCCAGCCTTAAGGCACTTATGATTTTATTTTTTGAGGCGAAGTCTTGCAGGGTAGCCCAGGCTGACCTAGAGTGAACTATGTATCTCAGACCGGCCTTAGGCTTGCAGTAATCCTCGTGATAGCTTGGATTACTGGCATTCCCACGTACTCAAGGCTAACATATATCCTTTTAAAAAAAATATTTATTTTTATGTGCATGTGAAAGAGAGAAAATGAATGCTTATATGTGTGTGGGTGCCCATGGAGGCCAGAAGAGGGCATCGGATCCCTTGGGGCTGGAGTGAGGCATTTGTGAGCTCACCCTGCCCCCCACGCCCCTTCCCCCAGTGCTGGGGATCCAACAACCAGTGTTCTTAACCACTGAGCCATCTCTCCAGCCCAACATTCACCTACCCCCCCCTTTTTGAGACAGGGTCTCCCAGTAGCCCCAGCTGGCCTGGAACTCACTATGTAGACCAGGCTGGACTTGAACTCACAGAGATCCATCTACCTCTGCCTCCTGAGTGCCACCATGCCCAGCACCTATATCCTTTTTGAATGCATGTATAGAGGCAATTTTGTTTTTGTTTTCATTATTTTTTTTATTTTTATTTTATGTGTATGAGTGTATTGCCTGTGTGTATGTGAGTGCACCTGTGTCGTGCAGTGCCGCAGAGGTCAGAAGAGGGCTTTGGATTCCCCTGGAACTGGAGTTAAAGACAGTTCATAGCCACCATGTGGGTGCTGGGAATTGAACCCAGGTCCTCTGCAAGAGCAGTCAGTGTTCTTAACCGTTGAGCCATCTCTCCAGCCCCCTTCATTATTTTTTTATGTGTATGAGTGTACGGGATGTATGCAGTGCCCGTAGAGGTCAGAAGAGGGCACTGGCTCCCCTGGAACTGGAGTTAGGATACTTTGTTCCGGCCCAGCCTCTTTCTTTCCTTCTGTGCTGCTAGTGCTGCCGCAAACATGGTGAAAACCTGCCGAACTTTCTGCAAGAAATGTGGCAAGCACCAGCCCCACAAAGTGACACAGTACAAGGGCAAGGATTCCCTGTATGTCCAGGGAAAGCAACGTTGTGACAGGAAACAGTGCCCACGGTGGGCATACTAAGCCTATTTTCCGCAAAAGGATAAAACTACAAAGAAGATTGTGTTGAGGCATGAGTGTGTGGAGCCCAACTGCAGACCTAAGAGAATTCTGGCTATTAAGAGGTACAAGCATTCTGAAGTTGGAGAAGACAAGAAAAAGGGCCAAGTGATCCAGTTCTAAGCTCATTTTGTAGTGAAGACAATAAACATGAGTTACTTAAAAAAAAGAAAAAGAAAAAAAGAATGGTTGTTGGCTACCATGTGGGTGCTGGGAACTGAACCTGGGTCCTCTGGAAGAACAGCCAGTGCTCTTAACTGCTGAACCATCTCTCCAGCCCTGGAAAGCTTTTTTTATTGCTGTTGTTCTTGTTTGTCCTGGGGAGTCAAACTCAGGGTCTAATAATGCATGTTAGGCAAGAGCTGTCCTTCTGAGCTACATCCTCAGCATTTAGAAGCAATTTCTGTGGTTGTTTTAAGGGCACAAGCATTGGAATCTGCA